CTCCAACGAGAGAGAATCCAACCATCACCCCTTGACATGCAATGGCATAACATCCTGGCATTGTCATTAACCAGAAATTGAACTGGTTGAGCAATATAAGTACTGTGGTTACAAGAGCGGGTCACAGGCTAGGAATCTTGCAGCAAGTGATTCACCTTCTGACTTCCTTAAAGCATGCCCACCATCTGAGGAATGTGATGGAATACTCCTCACTTTCTTGGGTGAGTGCAACTCAAAACAACATTCAAGAAGCTTGACACCATCGAGGAAAAAGCAACTCATTTGAGTGGCACCACATCCAGAAGAATTCACGCCCTTCACCACAACACTCAATAGCAGCAGTGTGTACCATCTACAAGATGCACTGTAGAAATTCTCCAGGGCTCCTTAGACATCACCTTCCAAACCCACGGCCACTTCCACATAAAAGAAAAAGGGCCAGAGATACATGGGAACATCAATGCCTGCAAGTTCCCCTCCAACCCAGACACCAACTTGACTTGGAAGCATATCACCATTCCTTCAATGTTGCTGGTTCAAAATCCAGGAACTTCCTCCCCAGTGGCTTTGGGGTCTACCCACACCAAATGGATGGCAGTAGTTAAAGAAGGCAACTCACTACCACCTCCTCAAGGGTGACTAGGGATGAGTAATAAATGCTGACCCAGCCAGCAATGTTCGCATAACGTGAATTCATTTTTAAAAAAAGTTTACTTTTTATTCACTCATCAGACATGGATGTTGCTGGCTGGCCTGCATTTATTGCCTGCCCCTAGCTGTCCTTGAGAAGGTGGTGGTGAGATGCCATCTTGAATGATGCAATCCACATGCTGCAGGTTGACCAACAATGCTGTTAGGCAGAGAATTCCAGGATGTTGACCAAGCAACACTGAAGGAACACTGATATATTTCCAAGTCAGGATGGTGAGTGGCTTGGAGGGGAACTTGCTGGTGGTGGTGTTCGTATGTCTCTGCCACCCTTGTCCTTCTAGATGGAAGTGGTGGTGGATTTGGAAGATGCTGTCTAAGGATCTTCAATGAATTTCTGTAGTGCATTGTATATGTACTATAGGCTGCTGCTACTGCACGTTGGTGGTGGAGGGAATGGATGTTTATGTGGTGCCAATTAAACTGAGAGCTGATATTGAGTGCTTAAATCCAATTATATGGAATTGTTATTGTTCTAGAAGCCATCCTCCACTTTCCAGATCTTTAGGAATAATGAGTCGGGAGTTGCTGCATATCTGACCTCCATACCTCGGTGCCCTGGGTGCTGCTGTATCCTGTGACCCAAAATAAAATTTTATGGATCTGTATAAAGTGGGGCCTTAATGATTGCCTACATTTAGGTACAAGGCTTGGCTGCAGATAGAGCTTCAGTAGCTTTGTTTTACTCCAGCTTGTGTGTTTCATTATCATTAATTGCCTACCTAAGGACCCTAGTTGGTGGCATGTTAGGCATGTCACCCAAAGATCTTTTCACCGAGAACTTAATTAGTGAGGTGGTGAGAATGGGGTGAGTTTCTCTGCAGGATTAACTCACCCAATTACCTCCCCTTCTCATCACCTCCAGGGAGGGGAAAATCATTCCTTATGATTCGAAATGAGGATGAAGACAGAAGTGTGAAAATGTGGATGATGAAACTGTAAACAATTAAGCCCATGAGGTGTTCAGGGACCTAAAAAGTTCAAAGAATTGAGTTGAAAAAAGAACATGAAATTCAATGTAGAAAAAACATTGGAACTGTAAACTAAATAATGTTAGTTGGTTGGACCGAAGGATCTGTTTCCATGCTGAATGATTCTATGATTCTTTAGCAGCATAGTGTAAAGAAAGGTGCAGAGGTGTTGGAACAAATTGCTGCACTGTGCAAATGGTTTCAACAATCAGTGCAGTGAATAGGAGTTTGGATTTTATAATGCACTGGGTGAGAATAGAATTTTGGAGAAGTTAATATTGAACCCGTTATAAAATCCAGTTACCATAACAGAAAGTCGATGAAGGCATTGGAAAAGAATCAACAAAGGATTATTCATATTTGATATCTGGTGTCAGAAGCTTGACCTTTTATAACGGAGACACTGCAGAAGTTGAATTTACTTGCGTTTAGAACAGAGGATTGTGAGGGTATCTTAGTTAAGTATTCAAATTTGTATAGTTGAGGTTAAAATCAGATCAACCATTATCTTACTGAATGCCAGAGCAGGCTCGAAGGACTGAGTAGCCTACTCTTGTTCCTTGTTCATATGTTTGTATCAACAAGGTGGGTCCAGAAAATTGTTCACCCTGCTGACCACAAGAGGTCTTGGGATAGAGCAAAATATCTGGCGTAGCTAGTATCACACACTGGGATTGAATTTTCTTGTGGATACTTCCATTGAATAGAAGCTAGGCAGAGCAAATCTGCCCACTCAATAAAGGTGGTTGGAGGCCCATCCAATTTTCATGTTTAGCTGTCATTTGAATTTTGCTAGTGAATTGTTAGTGCTTTGAAGGGTAGATTTTTGGCAGCTCTACCATGGAACCATGCTGCTCCAGGGAAGTTAAGTGGGAGGGCCACAGGGGATTGAGCTTGTGGGGTAAAGAAATTTATTTTCATGGGGCTCTGAGGAAATTTGAAAATTGGCCCAATTTTTCAGAATAGATTAGTCAAAGAGACTATCATTGTTAATAGTTAGTTATTTAGAAAATAGTTGGAGAAGGATTTGGAGAAAAAAATTATTTGTGATATATAGGTAACAGTGTCTATTGTTGAACTTTGAGGATGAGCAAACATTTTCTACTCATCAGCAAATTTCTATGTTCCTCTGATTCACATGTTGCGCAATATAGAAGTTTTGGAGTTCAATTCCCACTCCAAGGACTTAAACATAAAATCTAAGATGACATTTCAGTGCAGTATTAAGGGAGTACTGCACTATTGCAGCTGACCCTAATCATTTGGATCTTTATAATATTATTTGAATCTTTATAACATTATTTGAAGTGTTTTTGTGGCACAGTGGCAGTGTTCTTACGTCTGAGCCAGAAGATCTCCATTCAAATCCCACCTACTCCTGATATGAGTAATAATATCTTTGGATAGTTTGACGAAAAAATATCTAGCACAATTTGAAGAGTTCTTTTGGTGAGGTAGTAGAGTCCCTACCAATGAGCTGGAAGGCTCAGGTTAAAGTCCCACCTATTCCTGAGGTGTGCAATCACATTCCTGAACTGGTTGATTAGGAAGTATCTAGCACTATTTGAGGAAAAGTATGTGCCATCCACTACCCAAACTCTCAGCCAAGGCAAACCAGTAAAACTGGTAACATTAACCTTCAACCAAACCCATCAAGAAACATTATTTGGTTACTTAATTGATTCCTATTTATGGGAGTCTACTTCATGTGTATTGGTTGCTGATTTCCCAATAGTTTATTGTGATCAGGAATGAAAAATATCTTTTTTAAAGATTTTTTTTGTGTGATATGGGCCTCTCCAGAAAGACCTACGTATGTTGCCCATCCTAATTAGTCCATCAATTGAGTGATCGACAGATCCCTTCAGAGGGAGTTGAGAGTTAATCTGTGGTATAGAGTCCCAGAATAGAACAGGAAAACATGGCTGATTTTGCTCCCTAAATGCAGATCAGATTTTTAACAACAACCGACTATAATTTTGTCATCACAATTACTGAGATTAGTTTTCTTTTCCAGAATTATTAATTGAATTTAAATTCCGAAGACAACCACTGTCCCAAAAGACTTAGACTCTGGATCCGACACTAGTGCCATTACCGCTACACCACTGATTCCCCTGATTGTGAAGCACTAACTCATTCTAAGGACTGGAAGTGGTGCTTTATAAAATCTTTATTACTACTGAATATGTATTTTTTATCAGCTTTTTAAACTGTTTTGCTGAGTTTGACAATTGCTGTCGATCCTAGGTTAGAACTGCAAAATTATCTATTCATTGCCTTTCAGGAGGCAGCATTCAAGTTGGGTGAACTGAAGATGGATCTTAATTTCCTTCCTTTCTCTGAATGATCTCCTCTTTCTAAGTAGTGTTCCTACTAGTGCCTGAATTAAGAACCAGCTGAACTCACTCAACTTAGGCAAAACCGCCAAACTGGCACACAGCTTTTTGACCTTGTGGTTGATAGATTTCAGTCCAGCTTGTTTACAGTTGTTTCTTTACCAAGGCTAGCTAACAGTACCAGAGGCAAAAACAGATGAAATTTTCATATTTCCTGTTTATTTTCATGTGGCTGCCTTAGTACATTCCAATTTTTGATTGTGCTTTGGTGATTACACCTCACTGGAAAGCAAATTGTAGGATTGCTTCCACTTATGTGAAAGGAGCTTTGTTAGAGGGATATCGCAAGAGCTGTTTCAATCCAATGCAATCATTATGACTTTGAATACCGAACAATTTAATATTGTTTTACAATTGATAAACATTCTAAATATTGGTATTTTCCTTGTTAGGAAATATGGGTGCTGCAGAATGCCTGTTGTGAACCTGAGTTAATTTCATTTCTAATCTGTAGTCCTAATGGTTTTGTTACCTTCTCATGTGTAATCTTTAATCTGCCAAAAAGCAGCTGTTTCAATGCATTGTTTTTAAAGCCCCTTATTTTTGATGCATCGATTCTATCTTTTTCCCTTAAATAAAAACCAGCCAGGCAAAGAAATAAATACTTCTGTCCATCAATTTGTGGAGGCAGGAAGGTTTAACTCTGAAAATGTTATAGAAAACAAGTTTAGGGAAATATACTAAATCTAGTAACGCTAAGACCTTTGGTTGCAGACTCCCATCTGAATATATTATTTAATAAAATAAACAAAAGCATACCTGATCACGTCTTAATCATCTTCAAAATCTTTCATTTTGGATTGGGAAAATGATTTTTCCATAGGTGATCCACAGGCCAGTAGTTTATCATTGTGTTAGTTGTAAGCCCTTATTGTATAGCAGTGAAATTACTGTAACAATATCATTCCAATAATTTGCACAGATGTACAAAACAAAAGCTGCCATGAAGCTTGGAGACATGAACAACCGTATGAAGGAACAAGAAGAGGATTTTGCCAGAAGGACTGCTCAGTACCAGCGGGAAATACGGCGTCTTCAGCAGCTACTGAAGGACAAGCAGGAAACCCTTGATGGACTGCTTGAACAGCAAAGGTAAAGCAGTCATAGCAAAGCAAGCCAATTAGAGCAGACTGGTAGACAGAAAGATGCACAGCTGCAGGCTCCAGTATTCCATCATTTCTATCTGATGGTTTTTTAGATGGCTTACGTTATACAAATTAATTTTGACATAAACAGCACAAACAAATGACAGAAGTCAAAATTCAGTTACCTTTGTCTTAATAAAAATTTCCCTTCTTGATGCCATAAACTACTGTAGAGCCTCTTTCAAGATTTGTTCAAGCTACTTGTTTCTTTCTACTTCCAGCCAGCACAAAAAAGATCAATTTGTTAGAAATATAATTTACATAATTATGAACCATGAGCAGCAGCAACAACAATTATCCGACCTGTAGGCTCTAGTTTTATATAATTGCTTGCAGCGATGATTTTTCTTTGATTTAATGATATTCTGCTTCAGTAAAATTATCTGGTTGTTCAGTGTTGTCAGCTCTGCAATATTGATTGAAGCAGTGTGAGATGAAAATATCCCAAAATCTCAATTGGGATAGTGTGAGGATGAACAGAATATCACATAGCAAACATCATTTGTATATTACATATTAGCAGCCTTTAGGACATAGAGGGGAAAGCTAAGACTAAGAGCTAAAGTCATTCTTGCTTAAGCGAGGTTATGATTATGAAAAGAATGCAATTTTCCAGCAATACTTGTCATCAGCAATTTACATCTTATTGGCAGCTGTGCAATGCAGTCCATTATCTGCAGAGCGGCGAGACAGCAGTGAAAGAAATCTAATCACCATCTATTTCTCAGCTTTTCAATGTTTTTCTGAGATAAGCAGTTAAAATATTTCCAGAACTGAATCCAAGCTGCCAGGTTTTTGTACTTACTGAACCATTTAATAGTTAAAGCAGTAGCTGCTGCCTGCAAAGCAATGTATGGGAATTAACTGAATACTTAAAAACAGCACAGTTGATAACAACCAAAAATATTTTGGCATATTTTCACTTTGGGAATTCTGAAGATATTTTTGTATCTCAGAAATTTTAACCTGTTCAACCTTACTAGTGCTGTTATTGCTTAAAAAATGCATAAAAACCTTAAGCAAAAATACTTAATTGGTAAGGAGTAAAAGATGTTCATATATTTGAAGAGTACTGTATGTGTTCCTATGAAACGAGTTACATACTCGTATATTGAAATAATAAAATATAATTGGCAGCTGTAGCTACATTACATAATTCCTTGAAAGTGAATGTAATGAAACATGGAAAAGGAATAAGCCATTTAACCCCCAAAGCCTGTTTTTCCATTTAATAATCTATGACCTAATTCTATGTACCTACCTTTGCTCCAAAATAATTGATAGATTCTTGTGAATCAAAGTTTCAATGTCAGATTTCAAAGTAACAATTGATCTAGCATTAATTATTATTGCAGAAGATGGTTCCAACATTCTAGACTCCTTTGTGCATCAAAATATTTCTTCAGGTCACTCTTGAAAATTCTGGCTCTAACTTGTAGATTATACTCCCATTGTCTTTCACAGTGGAATTGATTCACTACCTACTTCATCTGTTCCCCTTAATATGTTAAACTTCAAATCAAATCACTTCATAATTTTGCAAATTCCATGGAATAGAACATGTTTTGGAATCTTGCTTCGTAATTTAACTCTTGAAGTCCAGTTATAATCCTGCTAAATGTACACTGCACACTCTCCAAAAACAACACAGTTTACCTACGATGTGGGGCCTAAAGCTGCTCAAAGTGCCCTGGTCAGACTGCATTTGGAATATTGTGAGCAGCTTTGGGCCACATGTTAAATAAGAATGTAATAGCATTGAAGGGAGTCTGGAAGAAGTTTACAAGAATGATCCCAATGATGAAGAGCTTGTCATATGAGGAATGGTTAGGACTCTGGATCTGTACTCAATGGATTTTAGAAGGATGAAGGGGGATCTGATTGAAACTTACAGAATACTGAGAGGCCTGGATAGAGCAAACATGGAGAAGATGTTTCCAGTAGTAGGAGGTACTGGGACCAAAAGGCACAGCATCAAAGTGAAGGGATGACACTTTAGAACTGAGATGAGGAGGAATTTCTTCAGCCAGAGGGGAGTAAATCTGTGGAATTCATTGCTGCTGAAGGTTGTGGACGTCAAGTCATTGAGTGCATTTAAGACAGAGATAGATAAGTTCTTGTTTAGTAAGGGGGTCTAAGTTATGAGGAGAAGGCCAGAGAATTGGTTTGAGACATATATTAGCCATGATCATATTCATCAATATCTCTGCAGTTCTCAGGTCTCTCCCCTCTCTGTCTCTCCTGTCTCGCTGTCTCTCCCCTCTCTCTCTCTCCTGCCTCTCTCTCTCCTGCCCCTATCTCTCTCCTCTTTCTCTCTCTCATCCCTCTGAAGAGTGAAAGAAAACCACAGATTGCCTTTCTGAAGAAAGATTATGGGATAAACTTGCAGTCAAAAGATAAAGCATTAGATGTTCTGGAGTCTGCTGCTTTGATATGCAGCAAGGCACTATTCATACACAGTCGTCTCTAAAATCTTGCTGGCACAACTTGCTCGGGAAATATAAAGATGTCATAATCTTTCAATCACTCTTTCAACAGAAAAATTAGACATTACACTACCTAAATTACTGTAAAGGTTTTCCACGGAAAACTTTCCTCCAACTTAGTTTGTTCAGAGCAGACTTCCCTCCAATTGAACTGCATAAAACAAAAATCTCTCAAAGCCTACTCGAAGGCTATTCAAAACAACCCCAACAGGGTCTACAGAAAAACAAACAGTTATTACCAATCATGCAATTTACAGGAAGCCTTGTTTAGAAAATAGTCTCCTATATGCTTTAATTGCACTGTTTTCAAGAAACCACTCCAGGTATGTCCATAAAGCTTTAAATAAATTCTTTTCCACAATACTTCAGTACTGAGTCCTCCAGTATTAATTGCAAAACACTCTGACATTATTCACAAAGCAAATCAGCAGATTGTAGAATTTGCATATTTTCAGTGTAGTCACTAATGAAATGGTGTGTTTCTAAATGCCACTTTTTAATCAATCTCATTGGTAAAGCCTTACTTACATCTTTAGAATAGTATAATATGATAAAATGTAAATAATTTGTTTTCACAATGAAAGACTAGTTAAAAGCTGGTACAGATTTGTGATTTCTAGCAATTACAATTACTTATGAAATCTGTGGAACAGCTTTCATTCCCCTTCAACTCTTTTCACTTTGTGTGCCCAATCATGTATTAACACCATTGACAAAACATCACAACATTCCAGGAAAAAAACAGCTTTAGTAGTTTTGTCTAAAATAATTATCAAAAGAACTTTTGCAGCATTTGTATGTATTACATTCCTCTTATTTCTGAGCAAGCACCCAGGTCATTTGTACTTAAGTAGATTAATTGTAGAATCCTCCTATCAATATAAAGAATTTGTAGCAGAAGACTGAATACTGTATGAATCTTTACATTATTTAATGTCTATTCATGCAGATAAAGTAAGTGTTCGTTAAAGCTAATTGTTTAAACTGTCTATTTCTTTTAGACAAGTTGAATCTGAACTTGAAACAGTTTGGGAATCAACGACACGAGAGAATCGTCGGATAAAGGATCTTTTACGTGGCACTGTACATAAAAGCAATCTCTTAGACACTGTCAGCTTTGATCGATCAGATATAGAAGGAAACCTTCGCAAGTATTTAGGCAGCCAATCAGATTTCAGAGCAATCAGCTATTGTGATGTAATACTGTCCTCTGCTAGAAGGATAGAAGATAGAATGACACATGAAAATGACCTGCAGCTAAATGTTAATAAGCATTCACCTCATCGTGTGGCTGAAAGTGGAGATTGTGCAATCATGCAGCAAAAAAAGAAAAAGCGCAGAGAAGAAACTGTCAAGAGTCCGATGTTTGAGTCTGATTCTGATCAGCAGCAAATTGTCTCCTCTGATGAAAGTGACAAAAATGAGCATGATTTCTACTCTTAAATTTTCAAATGTGAATTGTGATCATATTATTCCTGTAGATGGTACAATATTCACAGAGACTGATAACTGGAAGTCTGATTTTTTTTTAAAATTAACAGCTAAAAGAATGACATAGCAAGATTTCATATTTTAAAACTATATTGTAGCCATATACTTAAAAAAAACCCTAACACTATTGTTTTGTGGTGAACAATTTATACTTTGAAGTACTTTAAATGGAACAGAGCTCCCCCACCCTGTTCTTAGCCCAGATAACATCCTTCACAGCTATACTTTACACAGAACTTTACCAAGACAGTCAGCTTTCCCAGAATCAATCCAAAGTGATTCTTAACTCCTGAGAGTTTATTCCTGTTCAGTTCTTTTGTCAAACAGGTAATTTGTAATCTTAATCTTCATCTAATCTATACTTAATGTCTTTTACAGTGAAGTTCTTTTTTCCTGGGCGTACTTCTTCTAGCCCATGCTAGGTGAATCTGCCAACCTTGTTTTAACTCCCCCTTTCTCCTGGATCCAGACAGACCAAATGTTCTGGGAAAATCTGTAATCTGTCCTTCAATGGCTTCCTTTACCTTGGTGACTTGAATCATATGGAGCCGTGTATCTACATAGAAATGCTTAATATCTACCCTTCAGAGCCTTAACCTTCTATCAGTTTGAAGTAAATCAATAGTTTAAATCACAGCTGTTCATAACAAGACATTCTCAACATTTTTCTGGAACTTTCAAGGCTCTTAATCGTCACTGTTAACACACAGGCTGTCGCCAGTCTCCAAGCATAAATATTCTGCACCTTCTTCCCAGTAAAACAATCTAAACCTTCCTTTGATGTTTTGGGATTGAAACCACCCAAGCTTATTGCCAGACAGACATCAGAACAGGTCACATAACTTCCTTCATTTTACAATTAAATTTAATGGCAGAATTTGAAAATATAATAATCTTATACATACATTGTAACAATATGTTTTTCTCGTGTACTTGTTGAAATTGAAATGTTTATGTACTGAAAAACTGTTTTTAGTTACTTCATGTTAACCATTTTGAAAAAAAACATCATTTAAAGATGCATACTTTTGTTGGCTTTATTTACATTGTAATGGTATGCATCCCTGAATACATCTTGCCACCTCTGGTTAAAATTATCCAGATTTTCACAATTTGTTTGGACTTTTGAACCTCAGGGATTTGGTTTTCCTTTAAAATTTGATTTAATTAGGTGTCTTATTTCCTGGAGAAAAATATTTAAATGAAATTGTCATTTTACTTTCTTTTTAAATAGTAAGTAGTTATCCTTAATCTTCTAATACAATGGTTTCCTGCTGAGACAATTACATAACGCCAAGGGACATTACTTCATGCTATGGAATATTTGTGGTTTGTTGAGTTTTGCAGGGGTGAAGTGGAAAGGAATAGTTGGAATTTTATACTAGTGTTTTTGTGTGCAGGGATGGGAATTTTACATCGTAAAAACATTTTTCTCTCAGGATTGCTGACAAATAAGTATACTGGGAATTGTCAGTGAATTGCATAATTTACCTATAAACATTTTTATAGTGCAACGTGAATGTACCTTCTAAATGAAGTGAATACAATATATTAGATGAGAAAATGTTTATTAGTAGGTGTTTAGTACCCTTCAACACTAACTAAAGAGAAAGTGTTGATTTATGCAGCACCTTGAGTTTGTACTTAATAATGGATTTGTTGATTTTGTTAAGAATACTTGGATAAATTAAATTTGCCAAACCAAATTTTGCTTAATGGTACATCAAATTTGTGACATATCAATAATGGAAGAACATAACAGTAGGAAAAGCATTTGCAGTAAACAATTGATGAATCAAATACCAGGGAAATAGGTTGAAATTTGGGTTAAGCAGAGCTTTGTGATAGCTGCAGAGGCGCACAATGTGTATAAGTGTAAACCGTTATGCCTACAAATATCTATTTGAAATGTTATATATTGAACCTTTGCTACAATGCATTAAATACCTCCTTAATCTGGTGGTGTGTGATGCAAAAAGTACAAAAACGTTATTTATTCTATACTTGCTCATTTTGCATGTCACTTTGTAGAGACATCTTCATGATGTAAAATGATGGCCTGTCCAGCATTTCATACTTGAGTTCACTCAGTCCAAGTCACTACCTCTAATTGGTCGATGTGGTCATATGACATCTGACAGGAGTACTAGGCTTGTTTTGCCATGTAGGTATCTCTAATGCAAAGGATTTCAGCATTGTTTACCTTGCTGGCGCTGAAACATGGGTTTGGCTAAAACAGCCAGCCACTGCAGAATTACAACTAATCATGGGCATTGTTTTAACTGATTTGCTATATGAATGATTGATAACTTTGACACAGTGCAATTTTATGTCGACCAACTCATCAAGATTGGGTTGTATTTAAATGCTTAGCAAATAAAAGGATCAAACATTTTACGGTAAAATAACTCTTTATTTGCAAATAACATTTGAAAATCTATGCATTATGTTCTGTTAATGTTAACTGTATTTTGTATTATTTCCACTACATCTTTGATCAATATCTTTCCTGATTCATGTTCCAAATGGTGGTAGATTATATCTCGGTTAGACAAGCATATATTGGTCCCTACTAATTTTAAGGATAGTTGGAGGCTGTTTGAAATTAGAAGTGTGTCAACTTTCATCCACATTTTACAGCAGGCCTCTGTTTCAGTTTCTCCCAAGGAAATGGCCATCCCTTTCTACCAAAGAAATTGTAAAGCAAATTTTCTTTTCTAATTCTCCTACTGTGGAGCCAGAGGAATATTTGTTTGGCATTGCTCTAAATTATTCCTGGTCCATCTTGCAATCCTCAATCACTTGGAATTTGGGTTGTAAAACCAGTGTGTAATTTCCCATACCAAGTTCAATTCTCTGTTATTCACCAACCAATGGAAACAATCTTTTATTATTTATTGGTATATCAATTGGACCTGAATTATTGATAAAGTCCAGGGTCCATTGCGGGCTACAGGTAACTGGGGTTTTTCTTGCATTATGTTTGACTAAATTGCGGAATACTTGATTGTTGTGATCGGGTTTAAAGTTCCATTATTGTTGCACCGTGCAGTTACCAGGGTTAAAGAAGGTGAACGAGATTTTTATCTAATGATTCATGTTATGTTCTCTACTCTCTCCCCATAAGTGTTTCATACTTCCCTGCTCTTTTTATCTTCAAAACCCCAACAAAAAATTAGTCCAATTCTTACACTAGACTCATTTTCTGTTTCTGTACTTTTTAATCTGTTTCTGATTCCCATCAGCCTTTCGGAACACTGAGGTAATTTTCATGTAATGGTGTTATGCAAATGCAAGTGTTGATTTTTAAATGAATCTTTAATGAAAGAAGCATCCAGGAAACCAATATACGTTAGGATTATGAAAATATTTCATAGAAATACACATTTCTTGTAAAGCTTGTGACTTCAGTTTCTGACATTTCAAAGAGTTAAAAACCTGAAGCAACAAACACAAGCAAGTAGTGGCACTAATGCATTCATGCTTATTGAAGTGATTATTGTGACCTTTCAAGGCTGAAACCACAAAGGCAAAATCACTGAAATACCCTACAGGAGCATCAGAGAGCATGCTGGTACTTACAAAAGCATAAATCCTGAATGTAGCACTTGCTGGAAATTTGTATGTTAGTACAACATTTCTGAATCAAATGACAGAAAAATGATTTATGATACCCTTGATATTCAATTAACATAGTCTATACACTTGAATGGACTTCAAAAATTGTTAATCGGTTGTGAAATGCATCTGATTGCCCTAGGGTCATTCCAATCCAATACTCTTTATGTTACTTAGAGTTTTAGCATGATAAATAATTTGCAAGCAAGATCTTCGGCTTTTGAAATAATTTACATTGCGTAATACTTTTCTGTCATAAACCATTGATCATTTGTGCAATTTCATGATGCCAACTGAATATATTCTTCTTTGTTAATTTTTTTTTAGTAAGTTGATTCACATAGATACCTTTGTACTGATTAATGTTTCCAGATTGAGGTGAATGTGTTTCTGGATGGCCGAGCTTATAGGAACAGTACTAATCTAGTTAGTGCTTCAGGCCTGTTCTCGAATTCACAGAGATCATGACTGATGTGTGACTGAACTCCATTTACCTAACTTTATCCCATTAACTTTTAGATTCTTGTGAACCAAAGATTTTATCTTCTGAAAACCTTTATAATCCCATCCATAGACATTCTGCTGTCCATGACGTTTGTCACCTTTTCAAGAAAATTCAGTTAGGTCTCTGACTGTCTCTGACTAGCTGAGAATATTCACAGTGTTCAATTACACTATCCTTAACTATAGATTCTGTTAACTTACTGAGAACAGATTCTGTTGGATCATTGGATTAACCTGAATTAATGATATGGAGACTTGGGGCTGAATTTTCAGCATGGAGTTAGGATGTTTGAGTGAGAAAATTTCTGAACTTGGCAGAAATCATTTGGTTAACATATTTTTGTTCCTCACAATGTTAAAATAGTTCAATATCTTCAGGTTTTTTTAATACAATGTCCTTAAATATAAATTAAATATAAATACATATTCCCAACACTGCTGAGCAACTCTTTCAACTGAATGCTTTTTCTTTAGTGAAAGGCAAGCAAATACATATAAGAATCCCCAACATTATGACGGGACTAGGTTAGATGAATCAGGTACACTGGATGACCGCCTGCATGAGCATGTTTTTCAGCATTGGGTTACCATGCAGGAAATGTTTAGAGGTGCAGCACACTCCATCAGGAGGGCATTCAGCTTCTATATCACTATTTCCAGCAGCAGCAGCATTGATATACCTTTCACATTCCTTATTTCCTTCAGTTTGCTGGAGAATAGGGCTCAGTATTCATAAATTATATCTGAGTACTGTCTCAGTATGGTTTCCCTAATAATGCACATAAACCAGCATCAATGGGCAGGAATAGGCAAATAATCCTAACATTAAAAAAATTGAGTATTTAGATGGCATAGATTCAATCATACAGAGCCAGGTCATTCAGTTCAACTGGTCTCTGCTTGTGCTTGTACCCCACACAAGACTACATACTTTACTCTTATTTTCTTTCCCTCCACCCTAGTCTTCCTCATGTTTGCAGCAAGTCTCCCCTTAAATGTGATGATGTAGACACTCGTTGTGACTACAAGTTTAATACTGTTTCCAGTCTCTACATGAAGAAATTTTACTGACATTATTTACATGATTTGTTAGAACATAAAAGCATAAGAAATAGAAGCAGGAGTAGATCATTTGGGCCCTTGGCCCTGACCCACCAGGCCATAATATCATGGCTGATCTACCCCAGATGTCAAATCCTCTTTCATAGCAGCTCCTCATATCCCTCAACTGTCCAATAATTCAAAACTCTGATTCCTCTAAAAATACTTTTGTGACCTAGCCTCCACCACCCCTGTGGAAAATCCCAGACATTCACTATTTTGTGGGAGAAGGCCTTCCTTCACATCTCAGTTTTAAATGAGTATCCCCTCACTCTGTAACTATGCCCCTTAGTTCAAGATTTCCCCACTGCTGGATATATCTTCTCAGCATTGACCCTGTCAAGCCCTGTCAGAACTGTGTTTCAATAAGATCACCCCTCATTCTTCTAAATTCTCATGAATAAAGGCTTAATCTTTTTAGCTGTTCTTGATGAGCCCATTTATCCCAGGAATCAGCCCAGTGAATCTTGAACTGGGCCTGCAGATGTCGAATCCCTACAGTGTGGAAGCAGGCCATTCACTCCATCGACTCCACAGCAGGCCTCTAATGAACATCCCACTCAGACCCTGTAACCCTGCATTTCCCATGGCCAATCTGGCTAATCTGCGCATCCCTGAACTATAGGGGGAAAACCAGAGCATCCAGTGGAAACCCACACAGACAGGAGGAGAATGTGAAAACTCCACATGTTCACTTGAGGGTGGAATAAAACCTAGGTCCCTGGTGCTGTGAGGCAGCAGTACTGACCACTGTGCCACCCAGATGTAGTAGCTACAATTGAGTAAATGTACCTACAAAGACATCAGGGAAGAACTGGCCAGAGTTGATTGGAAGGGGAACCTAGAATGGAAGATGGTGGAGCAGCAATGGCAGGAATTTCTGGGGGTAATTCAGGAGACACAATTGAAATTCATCCCATGGAAGAAGGAACATACTAAGGGGAGGATGAGACAACGATGGCTGACAAGGGAAGGCAGGGATAACATAAAAGAAAAAAGTATACAATGTGATGAAGTTTAGTGGGAAGCCAGAGAATTGGGAAGCCTTTAAAAACTAGCAGAGACCAACTTAAAAAGGCAAAAAGGGAGAGAAGATGAAATCTGAGGGTAAGCTAGTTAGAGGTGAGGTGAGAGTGGCATCAAGGCTCTAATTGACTGAGTGTGGCAGCAAGGAGCCCTAGCAAAACTGGAATCAATGAGTATCAGGAGCAAACTCTCTATTGGTTGGAATTATACCATAGTAACATAGCTGTGGTTATTAGAGATCCGTCCTCAGCTCCAGGACATCTCTGCAGGAGTTCCTCAAGGTAGTGTCCTAGACTCAATCGTTTTCAGCTGCTTGATCAATGGCCTTGCCTCCATCACAAGGTCAGAAGTGAGGATGGTTGCTGACAATTGCACAATGTTCAGTACCATTCATGACTCCTCAGATACTGAAGCAATCCATCTTCAAATGCCACAAGATCTGGACAATATCCAGGCTTGGGCTTTTCTTTTCTTTGTTCATTCATGGGATGAGGGCATTGCCGGCTAGGCAGCATTTATTGGCCATCCCTAATCCCCAGAGTGCAGTTAGGAGTCAACCAGAGTCTGGAATCACATGTAGGCCAGACCAGGTAAGGATGGCAGTTTCCGTCCCTAAAGGACATTCGTGAACTAGATGGGTTTTTCCAACAATTGGCAATGGATTCACAGTCATCATTAGACTCTGAATTCCAGATATTTATCCAGATACATCTACAGTGGTGGGATTCAAACCCAGGTTCCCAGGACATTATCAGGGTCTCTGGATTTACAGTCCAGCGACAATACCATTAGGCCATCAACTCCCTAGTGACAAGGGGCTGACAAGTGGCAAGTAACATTCATGCCACACAAATGCCAGGTAATGACCATCTCCAAAAGAAGACAATCTAACCACCGTCCCTTGACATTAAATGGTGTTACTGTCACTGAATCCTCAACAATCAACTTCCTGGGGATTGACCAGAAACTCAACTAGCCACATAAACACAGTGGCTGCAAGACCAGGTCAGATGCTAGGAATACTGTGGTGAGTAACTCACCTCCTGACTCCTCAAAGCCTGATCACCATCTACAAGGCACAAGTCAGGAGCGTGATGAAATACTTCACACTTGCCTGGATGGATGCAGCTCCAACA